AGGCAAGGCTGTGAGGCAGACTCTTCTCGGGCACAAGGTTTCCTCATGTTTAAACATAATTTCCCTGTCCTCTTGAGGGGCCATGGCAACCCCACAAGGTTGTGGCTTCCCTAAACAGAAACAACGTATTCTCTCCAGTTGTTGCCTCTGGCTCCCGGCAATTTTGTGTACAGCATGACTGCCAGGGGGTCTCCCTGTGCCTCATCCTGACGCCTGTGTTTTGGGTTTGTTTCTTCATCCTGCACAATGGTCGCTGTGGCCGGGGGCATCTGCTGCTCCGTTGCATCTATGGAAGGGTCTTCCTCGTTGTCCCAGACCCTGGACGTCACGAAGCACCAGGTCCCTCTCCGAAGACTGGCCCTTCCCAGCAGAGGGTGCCAGGAAGCCCCCATTCCGGGCGCCGGTTTGGGGGGACGGAAGGCTTTCTGGTTCTGTCAGCTTCAAGAGAAAGAAGCCCCTTGGTTTTTTCACCCCCCTCCCCTCTTTGGGGATCTTCTACCCGCATTTCTGCCTGCTGGCTTTTGTACCTAATCTCCGTTTTAAAAAATTGTTTTTTATCCTTTTATTGGGGACTCATACAACTCTTAGCACAATCCATTCTTCCATCCATTGTGTCAAGCACATTTGCACATTTGTTGCCATCATTTTTCAAAACATTTTCCCTTTTTTAAAAAATTTTATTTATTTATTTTCAATTTTATTTTTTAAATCATTGTATTGGATGGGGCTTGTACAACTCTTATCACCATCCATCCATCCATTGTGTCAAGCACCTTTGTACATTTGTTGCCATCATCATTCTCGAAACATTTTCTTTCTACTTGAGCCCTTGCTATTGGCTCATTTTTTCTTTCCCTTCCTCATGAACCCTTGATAATTTATAAATTATTATTATTATTATTATTGTTTCATGTCTTACACTGACCCATGTCTCCCTTCACTCACGTTTCTGTTGTCCATCCCATCCCCCTGGGAGGGGTTTATAGGGGGATCGTTGTGAGCAGTTCCCTCTTTCTCCCCCCATTTTCCCCTTACCCTCCTGGTATGGCTACTCATGATTGGTCCTGAGAGGTTCATCTGTCCTGGATTCTGTCTGAAAAGTCCACGCTGGTGGGTACCACCTCAGGAACACAGGTCTGCAGGTGTGGCTGGGAGATGATGTCGTGCATTCTAGGGCGGAGCCGACGGAGCCCTGGTGTTACAGTGGGTTAAGTACCGGGGAACAGGGCCTTCTATGCACAAAGTCAGTGGCTTAGATGCCATCAGCCGCCACAGATGGGGGCTGTCTGTTCCCGTCAAGACAGACAGCCTTGGAAAGACAAGGGGGCCAGGACAGCTCTCTTTGGTCCTATGGGCTCACTCTGCGTCTGAAAATCGACTCAAGGTCAGTGGGTTGGCACCGACCCACGCATCTGTGTCCCGGGCCCCTAGGGTTTTCTAGTCTGTCTCAGTCACACAAGCAGATTGTCGGGGTGGGGGGGCAGGGGGACACCCATTGCCCCTTGAGTCAGTTCCAGCTCCTAGGGACACCACCCCCTAGGGGGCAAACCTGGGGGGTTTCCAAAATGGACGATCTCATCTTTCTCTGGTGGGTTCGAACCGCCGACCTTGGGGGTTGACAGCCCAACTCATAAGCCCACTGGGCCACAGGGTGCCTCCTGCCAAGGGTGGGGGTGAGGTTTACGACACGTGATTGCTGTGGAGGGGTGGCACAGCACAGCTCATAAGAGACAAGCCACCACTTGTCACCCGTCTGTGTTCATGGCACATGTCCCATGCTCGCCCTCTTCTCCACTCTCAGAAGGCTCTGACGGCCTCTAGTGGGCAGATGGTGGCAGGGTGTTTGTTCAGGGAATGTCCTGACTTGAGTGGCCGGGAAAGTTTTTTGGTTTTTTTAATCATTTTATTGGGAGCTCGTACAGCTCTTATCACAAACCATCCATCCATCCTTGGTGTCAAGCACATTGGTACATTTGATACCATCATCGTGCTTAAAACATTTCCTTTCTATTCGAGCCCTTGGTGTCAGGTCCTCATTCCCCCCCCCTCCCTCATGAACCCTTGGTAATTTATAAATTATTATTTTTTCATGTCTTGCACTGTCCGATGTGTCCCTTCACCTACTTTTCTGTTGTCTGTCCCCCTGGGAAGGGTTTATATGTAGATCATTGTGATCGGTTCCCCTTTTCTCCCCACACCTTCCCCTCCTGGTACCACTACTCTCATTATTGGTCCTGGGGTTTGTCTGTCCTGGACTCCCTGTGTTGCTTGGAAAGTTCGTGTCATCATGTTATGAAGTGATTGTGCGGGGTTCCCAACAGCCCTCCCTTGGAAATTGGCTCTGATGTAACTCCAGGATCTCGCCCTCTCCCTCCCTGTCACTTTAAGTTTTCATTATTGCCTCTGATGACCATAATCTTTAATCATCCCAATGATTATTTGGCTTCAGGGCTGGGAACACTGCATATAAATGCATATACTATGTGTATATACTTACATATATAACCATTTGCATATACTTATATTTATTATATGTTTTTATATATAGTATGTATAGTTTAAAACCCACCGTCTTAGTTAGGGGGCCCCGGTGGTGTGGTGGTTACACATTGGGCTGCTGACTACAAGGTCAGCCATTTGAAACCACCAGCCGCTCCAAAGGTAAAAGATGAGGCTTTCTACTCCCATCCAGAGTTACCATCTATGTACAAAGGTGCTTGACACAATGAATGGATTGTGATAAGAGCTGTTAAGAGCCCCCAGTAAAATGATTAAAAAAAAAAAAGCGTTACCATCTCAGCAACCCACAGGGGCAGGTCGGCCTCGTCCTGTCCTGGAAGATCGCTGTGAGTCCAATGGACTCAATGGCAGTGAGTCCGATGGCAGTGAGTCCGGTCTTCCTTATCTAGGGATGCTGTAACAGAAATGCCGCCTGTGAGTTGCTTTAACGAACAGGAATTTATGTTCTCACACTTCAGGAGGCTCTAATCATGAATTTAGGGTGCAGGCGCTAGAGGGAGACCTTCTCTCTCCGTGCTGGCTCTGAGGGAAGGTCCTTGTCTCCCTTTTGACATCGTGGGCCCAGCGTCCTTCAAAGCTCTGTGTGTCTTGGCACCAATCTTTGCCCGGGTCCAGGAGGTTCTCAGCACAGGAAGCCTGGGTCCAAAGGACCTCTCCTACTCCCAGCTCTTCTTTCTTGGTGGAAGTCTGGTTTCTCCTCTATGAGCCTCTCTCTCTGCCTGTCTACTAGTAGTAAAGGTGTGTGTAGCTTCTACTTACTGCTAGTGGGTCCGTGTGGAATCGGAGTCACACCTCGGGGCGAGGTAGAGCTGCCTTGATGAGTTTCCAAGACTCAAGAGCAGAAAACCTGGACTTTCTCCGGCCGAGCGGCTGTTGGTTTTGAACTGCCGACCTTGAGTTTAGCAGCCGAACACGTAGCCACTATGCCACCAGGGTTCCTGTGTGTACATTATAGACCTGTCTACTAGACTGAAAGTTGAGCCATGAGGTTGCGTTCGTTTTCAGACCTGAAGGTTGACGAGGGACCATAGACCGGGGTGTTTCTCTGTCCACCACTCAGCCTGGTCTCTTAGGGCCTTAAGTTCTGGTCCCACTCAATCCAAGACATCCGAGCGGGGGACCTCTTTCAGAGCAGTCGGTGGTGGTCGCTGGACACCATCTAGTTCTTCCGGTCTCATGGTTGGGGAGGCTATTACCTTTTTCTTTTTTCTTAACTTTCTTCTATTCCATTTCCCCACCAACTTTTCTTTTTCCTCCCCCTGTGTATCTTTTTATTTGTTTGTTTGTTTGTTTGAAATCATTTTATCGGGGCTCGGACAACTCTTAGCACAATCTATACATCCATCCACTCCCCACCAACTTTTCAAAGCCTCCTGGTGGCCGGGCCCCTTGTCTTCAAGCCGTTGAGCCGCGTTGAGAACCAAGCCTATTAGGGAGGATGGCGCAGGACCAGGAGGCGTTCCCCCGGGGCGTGCGTGCTTACGTGCGCACGTGCGTGCTTACGTACGTGCGTGCCGCAAAGAGTCGGACGCGACTCACTGACGGCAGCTCCAACAACCACGACGGCAGTAGCAGCTCCTAGAATTGAGCGTCAGTTCAGCCGGGAATGACGTCGCAGGCGCACCTGCGGGCAAGCCACCCTCGGGCGCAGGGTCGCTGGGGCGCCTCGCCCAAGAGTCACACGAGCAGAGGTTATCGGCAAGAACCTTCCGGGGCGCCGATAGCCTGTTCTCAACGCATAACCTTGATGCTGGCATTTAACACACCCCCCCAGCAGCGCCACGGGAGGAAGGCCTGGCGGTCTGCTTCTGACGAGTTTTGGGGTGAGGAAAAAAAAAATCATACGCTGATATCAAGCCGATTCAAACTCATAGTGAGTCCATAGGACAGCGTAGAACTGCCCCTGCGGGTTCCAAGACTGGAACTCTTTTGAGTACAAAGCCTCGTCTTTCTCCCGAGGAGCGGTTGGTGGTCTCAAACTGCTGACCTTGCGGTTAGCAGCCCGATTCATAACCACTACGCCACCAGGACTCCAGGCCACGGAAGCCTGAATGAAGGGAGCGTTCGTTCGGGTAGCACGAGGTCACCGTGAGTTAGGAAAGACTGGACGGCCCGCAGGTTGAACGGTTCTCATCACAGATAGAGGGGGCCCAGGGGGCACTGCTGGATCAGCGTCAAGCTGCAAACAGCGAGGTCACTGGTTCAAACCCAAACCGCCGTGCCTCCGGAGAACAAGGAGGCATGTCTGCTTTGGGAAACACTTAGAGCCTGAGAAACCCTGCAGTGCCCCCGTGAGTTCCGCTGAAGGAGCGCTGGTGGGTTGCAAACCTGGGCTGCTAACGCCGGGGCCAGCAGTTCAAACCCACCAACTGCCCTGAGGGACAAAGATGAGGTTTTGTGCTCCTTGAAAGAGTTAAAGGAGCTCTTGGTGGTTACAGCTCAAAGGCCTTCAGTTCGGAACCAGCAACTCTTCAGTCTCGATACTTACCTGGCAGGGGAGATACCATGACCACGCAGGTGGTTTTCCCAGGGTTTTCCCTGTGCACTCCGGATGTGCTGATCCCTGCGATTTCCCCAAATGCGGTAAGCTCGACTGCATAATTTGTGGTAGTGGGGGACTGCTTTCGCGCTCTCCCCTGGGGGGAAAAAAATTACACTCTAGAAAAACCCACAGGGGCGGGTGGGGGAGGAAGAGGGGAAAACAATGAGGAGCTGATCTCAAGGGCTCAAGTAGGACGAAAATGCTTTGAAAATGATGATGGCAACATATGTATAAATGTGCTTGACACAATAGATGAATGTATGGATTGTGATAAGAGATGTAAGAGCCCCCGATAAAAGTATTTAATAAAAAAGAAAGAAAGCGAAAAACCCACAGGGGCACTTCTACCCTGTCCTGTAGGGTGGCTATGGATTAGCGTCACCTGGATAGCAGTGTTTGTTTTGGAAAGATGGACAGCCTCACAACCCCACAGAAGTGCTTCTGGTCTGTCCTGGAGGGTGGCTATGAGCCAGAATCCACTCGGGGGCAGTGGGTAATCATTGAGCGTGTGACCGGAGCAGAATGGGAGCAGTGTCCCTAGCATTTAGCATGCATGTCCTAGTGCAGCACAGAGGTGCCCTGGTAAAGTGGTGGTTCCTCACTGGGCTGCCAACCCCAGAGTCAGCAGTTTGAAACCACCGGGTACTCCGAGAGAGAAAGTCGAGGCTTTGTATTCTCGTGAAGAGTTGCCGTCTCCCAAACCCACAGGGGGGTCTGCCCTGTCCTGTAGAGTTGGTGGCAATGAGTTTGGGGGAATACCAGAAGAGCTGGATGGCACTGTTGGTAAAACATTGGGGCTGTCAGCATCAAGGTTGCCAGTTTGAATCAACCATTCTCTCGGGAGGAAGAAACAGTAATTGTGAAGATTTACAGCCTGAGTGGAAATCGATTCGATGGCAGTGGGGGGAGCCCTACAGCATTCGTCAGAGACATGTTAGTGGATGCTGCACTGGGAAAGGAGCCCCAGTGGGCCTCACGGCTAAGCATTAGGCTGTTAATGGCAAGGTCGGTAGTTCAGACCCACCAGTCGCACCGAAGGAAGGAGAAAGGTGAGTTCATATTAAGGTCTGCTCATATTAAGGTGTACAGTCTCAGGAGCCCACAGGGGCAGTTCTGCCCTGCCCATAGGCCCCTACGAGTTGGGTTGCTTTTGGTCTTTGTAGAGGAGGGTGGGAGGTGCAGGAATGGGGACTGACCCAGCTGGCTTGGTTGGTGTGCTCCCCAGCTGGCGCTGCAGACGGGGCGCGAGCCCCCACCCATTTGGAGGGTACAGAAGGCCCTGCTGCAGAAATTTACCCCGGAGATCAAGGACGGGCAGAGACAGTTTTGTGCCACAAGTAATGTAAGTTAACTGAGGGAAACACAGGGCTGGGGCTTGTGGGGGAGGCAGGGCTCGGGCTCCTGGGACCCCTGTTCCCCCCTCTTGCTGGGTTCCTGTACCCTGGGGGTCTACAGTGAGTCCTGAGGGCATCCCCCCCTAACCCCCATTCCCTGTGGCCTCCAGGCAGTGGCCGGGGCAGGTGGGAGTCACAGGTCTGTGGCCAGAACAGTGACAGAGTTCCTCCTGTGCCCTTCCCTAGTATTTGGGGTATTTTGGGAATGCGAAAAACCGGTACCAGCGTCTGTACGTGAAATTTCTGGAGAACGTCAACAAGAAGGATTACGTGAGGGTCTGCGCGCGGAAGCCCTGGCACCGGCCCCCTGTGCCTATCAGGTACCACCAGGGCTCAGGGAGGCCTGGAGACAGGTGGCTGGACGGGCATGAGGATGGGATCACCCCCAGGGGATATGGAGTCAGGGGCATGCAGAGGGACCTTGAGAGGAAGTGAGGGACTGGGACCCAGAAAGAGAGAAAGAGAAGGAGGGCAGAGACCCAGAGAGAAAGCAAGACCCAAAGAAAGTGGACAGAGACCCAGAAATGGGGGGGCAGGGACCCACATGATAGATGGGCAGAGACCGAGAGATAGGGGTGGGGGAAAGAGGCCCACAGAAAGAAGTGGACAAAGACCCAGGAGTGTGCGAAGATCTAGAGAGGGGTGAGTACAGACTCAGGGCGTGGGTGTGTGTGTGTGTGTGTGTGTCCAAGACTTAGAGAAAGTGAGTGACAGAGACCAGAGAAGCGGGGGAGGGCGGAATCAAAGACCCACAAAAAGAGAGGTACGGAGGGAGGGCAAAGACCCAGCAAAAGTGGGGAACAGAGACTCTGGTGGGGGAGGAACAGAGACCCAGAGAAAGGAGGTATCGGGCCTGGGTTGGAGGGACAGAGGGAAAGAGTTGTGGGGAGACGCCCTGGGCTGGCTGCCTCCAGGGGACAAAGTGGGCAT